TGTTCACTGGCATGCTTCTTTATATATGTCTATCTCTATTGTTAATTCTTAAAGGCAGGGATCGTTGTGCTCAGAGCTGTATCTGCAGTAACTGAAACAGAGTCTGGCACACAGGAAGTAATAAAGACTTTCTGAGTGAATTTTAATTAAGAAAAGATGGTTCACATTTGTATAGTGATTAGTATGAGCCAGCGCATTAAATACGCATTAAATAAATCTTCACAATAACTCTATGAAGTGTGTACCACTAAGTTCCCAATTTTTAAATCAGACAATAAAGGAACAGAGTTTAACTTTCTTTTCCAAGGTCACACATCTAAAAACCTATGATCCTAAATTTAAACCCAAGCAGTACGGTCATAATATCTGGTCCCTGCTCTCTCCTTTTCACTTTCTCTATTTTAATCATTGCTTTCCATGCAACACTTGTGACTTTAAAATACATGTCATATATGAACAAATTTTCCTCAAACTTCCCCCACATTTCTGCTTTTCCCCCTTCTATTAACTAATGTGATCAATTGTGTAGAATTAATTCAGCAAAATGCAAGTCATGAAATGACTGTGTCCTATTGCTACCTCCACTTCTGCCAGATCCCATCCATCTTTTTTCCCTGGTGCAGATCTCTAAAACATAAATCGCCAATCCCCTTTTGTCATTAAAAGACCATTCACCTTCAAAATGGAATTACACATCTGCATTAAGTGCCTGGCCTCCTGGTCAGTTTTCCTTGTGCTTAGTATAAGGCTTAGGCCTAAGTTACCAGGGTCTTTTACTTGTATCAGGAAATAGCATCAGTGCCCCTAAATGTCCTGAATACTAGTCTGGAGATTAAATCAAGGTCAAAATGCTAATATATTACCAAGGTTTTTCGAGAACCCACTAAGTTCCCTTATTTGCTTAAGTGAGGAAAATGCAATTATTCTGATGAATTAGAGGAAGGAGCAAGAATGAAGACAGAGACCAGTTGCATAATCCAATCAAGATAATAGGCAGGGCAGGGGACAAGCACAGCGGCCTTTAGGGACATTGAAGAAGTTTAACTGTTGAAACTTACTGGAAAATAGGTGTGAGTATTGATAGATGATTAAGATTCAACTAGGTTTCTGGCTTAAACAACTGGGCAAATAATAATGGCACTTACTGAGATAAGGCACCTGCAGGAGGGGCAAATTTGGAAAAAAAAAGAAAAAGAAATGACACAGTATTAAAATCCTAGATTTCAAGCCTAAAGGCTCCTTTGCGCATTGGAAGGAAGTCATTGAAAATCTTTCTCTGAAAATGCATTAGGAAAAGGAAAGGAAAGTTGATCTCCTGGCAAATTGATTATTCCTTAACAAATTAACTTGTCTACATCAAACTGTATATTATCTCATAGAAAGCCTTTAATTTCCTCCCAGTACAATTATTCGTTTTCATTACTCTCTGAGTTGCGTTCCCATATGCAATTCTGAAGGTGGTGGCTTTATTACTTTGTTAATAATTTAATGATTTATCAAAAAGCCTAAAATGGAGAGTAGAGTAGGTCAGATAGACTATATGTTACATCTTTACAAAATCATTATAGCTTATGATTTTTAAAAATCTCAAAAAGGTCATATGGGCTAACTTACCTTACCTGCAGTTTAGCGTACAACCCACTATGGAAAAGCTTCTCACTAAAAACAATTAAAATTGTTGAGCAAAATACAAAAGGAGGAAAAAAGAACACTTTTCAAATTTATCTCCGAACTGGAAAGAAATTAAGGAATCCTCACGTACCCAAATCAGTATTAGCCTGCGTGGAGCCCCACTTATGCTTAATCCTGGTGACCAGTTTAGACTTGGAGAGCCAAGGGATACTGTGGACAGAAAACAAGTCCTAAGACCTTTGCAAAGTGGAGACTCTAGTAGGAGAACCCTGCATAAAGCAGAGCCCCAAAGGACTACAGGCTCAATGTGAAGGGGAGATAGAAATGCATTTGCACTTAAAAGATGAAAGAAAGGAAATCTTAACGATGGTACTAGGCAGAAGTAGAAAATCAACTTGCCTGAAAATTTTTAACCAAAAGTAAATTTTCATATGGATTTGCTGCAGCACCAGTTTACCCTATGAAGTCCAAAACCCTCAAGAGGGTTAATTTAATGAGGTTACCTAGGTGGTTGGCATATGCAAATACAATTTCTTTTGATATAATGCACCTTCAGGCCAGGTCTCAAAGGAATACTATAAGAACAAATATAATTGTACAGTAAAAAAATACCTTTAGAAAACACAAAAGGAAATAGACACTACAAACAAAACAGTAAAAATAAAGTCAAGAAGAACGAGACACGTAAGTTGTGTCACATAGAGAAAATATAAAAAATATTATGGTCAATATGTTTAAATATATAAAGAAGATATTTAAAAATAAGAATAAATAAAAATTGACTAAACACATATTTAGAGAACCAAATCTAATTTTTAAAATAAAAATTTAAAAACAATAGAAAACTCGATAAGAGAAAAATAACAGAAAAATACAGCAAGCAGGAAAAAAGAAAGCACAGAAATAAGATAGTATAAACAAATGAAAACATACCAGCAATTTAAACACCTAAGTCTTTAGTTAGAAGAAAAAATTTATAAGATTGGACTTTAAAAATAATTTAGGTATATGATTTTTTTAAGAAGTTTTTTTCAGGCTTTTTTTTTTAGATATTTTTCAAAAATATTTCTTTATAATTGTGCCTTGAATATATACTGAAATACAGGGGGAATGTGGAACTATACTGGCCATAGTACAAAGCTAGGCCAAAAAGATTTCTCAAAATATTTAATAGACTTTAAGAGAAATATAAGGAAATACTGTACCTTTTAGGGGAAAATCATTATTTATAATCAATTTAGTATTATCTGAAGTATATCCATTTTTAGAGGGTAATAGCTATTTTCAAAGTGTTGAGAGTTTTCTGTCAATATATTTCTTTACAAGTTTAAAATTCAAGGTAAAAATAATATTTATATACTTTTCATAAATCTGAAAATAGGTATGTTTAGTATTTTATCTAAAACATACTTTATATGCAATACATTATAAATATATTTATTTGCTAGAAATTAAGATTGATGAGGAAAATTTCAATAATTTTATTAATACATTGCTTGTAATAATGTGAATATAAGCACTAGAAAAATCCCTCAGTGGACCAGAAAAACGTTAACAGATGATGAATAGTTTGTTTAGTTAATTTAAATAAAAATGCAAATGATGAGTAAGCAAATGAAAAATGTCTTTAACCTCCATAGTAATGAAACGAAACAAGAGTTTTTATTTAATATTTATTTATTTATTTGTTTTAAATATTTTTTCATTGATTTCAGAGAGGAAGAGAGAGGGAGAGAGAGAGAGAAACATTGATAAGATGGAAACATCAATCATCTGCCTCCTGCACGCCCCCTACTGGGGATCAATCCCGAAACCCAGTATGTGCCCTGACTGGGAATCGAACCAGTGACCTCCTGGTGCATGGGACAATGCTTAACCAACTGAGCCACACCGGCTGAGCTGAAACAAGAGTTTTTTTGAAAAAAATCTAGATTATTCAAAATTTAACTCCTAAAATTTCTTCTTACCCATTTCTTTTTCTGGAGAAAGGTGTTTCCAAGAGGGTATCCAGAAATGGGCACTCTAGTCACTATTATAGAAGCATAAATTGATGCAACCTTTATGAAAACCAATTTAAAATTGTTTTTGAAAATCTATAAATGTACAATTTTTTTGGCTCTCTAATTCCAAATCTGGGAATCTATCCAAGGGAAATATTCAGATGTACACATAACTAGTGAACAGCATATTTATCTGAGCATTATTTACGATATAAAAAACATGGAAACCTCAAACATTCAATAAATAGAGATTAGCTTAAATAATATTTAGGAAGATTATTGGCTTAAGCTATCGAATATTTTCATAGAATTATGACACAAAAGCCTTTGATGAACCTGTAAATGACTTTTGAAAGAGAATTCAATTATATGGGAGAGTCTAAAATTTTAATTTAAAACATTAAATCATTCGGAGGAAAAAAGAATGTCTTTATTTTAAAATGGTAATCATAACATCTCATTTCCATGTCACAAATCTTATTTAAATAGTAGCAGAGATCAGATCAAAAAAGAAATAGAGAAAAGAATATAGGTAAACAAAGTTATTCTGTAAAATCCCATACAAATGATGTCTGTTTATGGGTGAGAATTAGCATTTTCCCCCCATTTTTGTACACAGAAAGTCACAAACTAGGGATATGAAAAGGTCTTGAGTTCTGTTTTTAAGACCAACATATTATTTTTGAAATTTCTTGTAACAAATATAACTCAGTCTTTTGTTGTTTCTTAATCCTCACCTGAGGATATGATTTATATTAATCTGAGAGAGAGAGAGAGACATTGATGTGAGAGAGAGACATTGATCGGTTGTCTCCTGATCGATCAAACTCTCAAACTTTCATTGCACAGGATGGTGCTCCTGCCAACTGAGCCACCTGGCCAGGGCCAACCTTGTCATCTTAACCTGTTAGCTAACATGCTATTTAATGATGATTCTTTAATGACACACTTTCCTGAGTGGCATGGGAGATACGGAGCATGTAAAAGATGCCATGCCGGCTCTCACATTCTTCGTAGGATCAGTGTATAGACAACTCAGACACACGGAGCCTTAAAATAAGAATATATTAAAGAATGAGTGATGAAGGACCAAAGTAAAAGCTACAGCCATCAAATGTCCAAAGGAGTTTGGAGGAGGTCAAGATAAATATAGCCACAAAGGTGGGAAGGTTTCAGGACAGAAGGAGAGCTTGTGGCTCTTGCTGTGATTTTGAACTTTCCCAGCGAGGTCATGCCTCATGCTTTGGGTCAGGGAGTTGACCCATTGGTTTAGAAATGAGTGAAACACTTTTAATGAAGTCATTGTGAAGTGGATATTGATTGATGCTGCTTACTGATTAATTCTCATGTTTTTGAACCTCTTTGTAGCTCTCCGAGACACTGGGAAACAGTCTATCAATAGTGACTGGAAGATTGAACACTCTGGAGCCTTCACTCTAGCGGGAACTACTGTCCATTACATAAGACGAGGCCTCTGGGAGAAGATCTCTGCTAAAGGTCCTACTACGTCACCTTTACACCTCCTGGTATGAGGGGCAAGTTGATAACATTGCATCGTCAGCTCCCTTTGGCCGTGGACATTCCCACCGTGCCTTCACTAATCTTTTTTCCAAATTTGAAATGTCAGGTAGACATTTAAAATCACTTAAGAGGCAAATGTTTTTAGGGATTTTTAAAATGTGTTTTTAATTATGATATATAAAAACAAAAATTATTATAAGAGAAACAAAATTTTATAGGGACCCGCAGACGCAAAGTCGAGGTGAAGTACTAAGCAGAGTGGCTGTCTGTGAAGGGAGTGCTGTAATATGGTAAATCACAGCACTGTGTACATCCATGAAATGGGCCTTGTCTCAATCTGTGTAAAATGCCTTTGATAAAATGGTACTGTTTCTGGGTACCGTTGTTGAACAGGGCTTCCAATTACTCTCTTCTGTTTTCTTACTAGGTTAATTGGTTCCCGTAAAGAATCATGAAAATTGGAATGTTTGGGATAAGTTTGCTTACCATGTAATGAAAGACTTAGGTATGAGGCAGAACAGAGTTTGGAGTGAAAAAAGCAGGACCACGGGGCCCTGTGCTCCAGCTAGTGGCAAGTTAAAATGCCCTGTTTGACCTTCACCACTGCAGTCAGTGCTAACAGCTTAGGAGCCAGAGGGCTGACTGCACAGCTGGCCTGCTTTCCATCCCAGCGACAAAGTCTAAAATTCAGACACTTCAACACCTCTTTAAGTCCACACGCAAAAACAACTTTAAAACACGATCGGCTGACTCTTTATTTGGAGTGTGGTATGCCACATTATTTAATATTGCCACAGAATTTAAGTTGAATTCGTCTTCAATTGGAGACATCTGTGTTGCTAGACTAGGCACTAGAGGTTTAAATCTTGTATTGGCCGATTTGCTTTTCCTACTTGAATGTGCCTGCAAAGCACCTGGGGTTCTTGCTAAAAGGCACACTGATTCATTTGGTCTGGGGATGAGCCCGAATTCTGCATTACTAACTAGCGCCTAGGCAATGCTGCCACTGCTAGTCCAGGGACCACATTTAAATAACAGTGTTTTCTAGAACTGCAATCAACAAGCTTTACCAACAGAGATAAGGGGAGCAAGGAGAGTTGCATGGGGATTGTCTGTTCCAAATCTTGATGATGATGATGATGGTGGTGATGATGATGGATTTAGCACTGAGTCAGACACTGTCCAAAGTACCTGATGTTCATTACAGCATTTAATCTTCACAGTAAGCCTGTGTAACATGTATTATTATTACTCCATTTTACTGAACAACTAAGTATTAGAAAGGTTCATAATGTGTGCAGTGTTTCCCAATAAGTTATTTAGCTGAGAATAAGCCAGGTATTAATCAATCTACTATCCCGCCTCTCCTGATTTGAAGCTCAGATCTAAACTCTTTACACCAGACAGCCTTGGATCATAAGTATATGTATACTTTGAATAACTATTTGTTCATCTTTCCACAATTTCTTTGGATCCTATTATTTCATTTGAACGGGAAACTTCACTCTGTGCCGTGTCCCATCTGGAGAGAGGGGGGTGAAATGACTAAACAAACATTGTATGCCCAATATCTGACTCTTTCCATAATTGGATTATTATTTATTTATTTATTTATTACAGTTGACATACAATATTAATTAGTTTCAGGTGTATAACATAGTGATTAGACATTTATAAACTTTACAAAGTGTTCACCCTGGGTTCACTTAAAATAACAACATTCCCAACAACAAATATTTCTAATTATTGGATTGCAGGAAATGCCTGCCTTATGTGAATGTAGCCTACATTTTTTATGGAACATGACCGAAGGTCTTTTACTGAGCCTCTAATTCAAAATCTTAAAACAGTTGATGTGAGACCTCAGTGCTGGGCAGAGGGAGTTTCCTTGCTGCAGAATTCTTAATCTGACTGGTAATTACCAAGGTTTTTCCTGGAAGCATGAAACATAATTAAAGTCAGTGAACTATGTCTAAAAGAAGGCATCTATGTGACCTGGATTTATTCAGTAATCCAAGGGAAACTGCACTTCTAAGATATTTTTCTTTAATGACTATTACAGATTGAAAGCCAGTACTGCATTTTGAAAGGCAATACCTCCTGCCATGCTCAGTCTGTGCCCCTCAACTGTAACACGGTCACACTTTCCTTCTTGCAAAAGGATTCTGCCAACTTCAAATGGTTTCAGAAGGAGCTGATGGTTTTGTAGCCAAGGTCTCTATTTTAAATGGCATTATTTATTCAAGGACAATCTAAATTCTGTTACTAAAAAGGCAGTTTTTTAGGAAAGATAGACATGTTTTCATTTAATTAAATAAGTTGGCAAGTAGCTATTACTTATGTTTATTTCATCAATTTAAAAGCTATGTAACACATCAACAAACAAGTGCTGGTGAGGATGTGGAGAAAAGGAAACCTTAATACACTGCTGGTGGGAATACAGACTGGTGCAGCCACTATGGAAAGCAGTGTGGAATTTCCTCAAAAATTTAGGAACTGCCATTTGACCCAGTGATCCCACTTCTAGGAATATATTCTAAGCAGCCTGAAATAGCAATCAGAAAGAATATATACAGCCCTATGTTCATAGCAGCACTATTTACAATCGCTAAGATCTGGAGACAACCCAAGTGCCCATCAGTAGATGAGTGGATAAAAAAGCTGTGGGACATTTACACCATGGAATACTATGCAACTGTGGAAAAGAAGGATCTTTTACCCTTTGGGGCAGCATGGATGGACATGGAGAAGATTATGCTAAGCAAAATAAGCCTGTCAGAGAAAGACAAATATCACATGATCTCACTTATATCTGGAATCTAATGAACAAAATAAACTGACAAACAAAATAGATCCAAAGACATAGACACAGGGAACAGACTGAAGATTCTCAGAGTGAAGGGGGAGAGAGGGAAGGAGATCAACCAAAGAACTCATATGCATGTATGCATGATCCATGGACACAGATAATAATGGGGTAAAGGCCTGGGGAGAGGATGGGAGTGGGGAGGGGGAGTCAATGGGGGAAAAAAAGGGAGACATCTGTAATACTTTCAACAATAAAAATAAATTGAAAAATTAAATAAATAAATAAATACCTGTGTAATAACCAGACTTGTAAAGAAAAACAGAGGACCCAAATAAATAAACTCAGAAATGAAAGAGAAGTAGCAACTGATACCACAATGGATTATAAAAAAATATTATGGACGCTGGTTAGGTAGCTCAGTTGATTAGTGTTGTGCTGATATGCCAAGATTGAGGGTTCAATCCCTGGTCGGGACACATACAAGAATCAACCAATGAATGCATAAATGAGTGGAACAACAAATTGATGTTTCTCTCTCTCCCTTCCTCTCTCTAAAATCAATTAAAAAAAAAAAAAATATATATATATATATATATATATAATGAACAACTATATGCCAACAAATTGGACAATCTGGAAGAAATGGATAAATTCCTAGAAACATACAATCTTCCAAAACCGAATCATGAAGAAACAGAATCTGAACAGACTGATTACAACTAATGAAATTGAAGCAGTAATGAAAAAACTCCCAACAAACAAAAGTCTTGGGCTGGATGGCCTCACAGGTAAATTTTACAAACATTCACGGAAGAACTAACACTTATCCTTCTCAAACTATTCTAAAAAAAATTCAAGAGGTGGGAAGACTCCCAAGCTCATTTTATGAGGCCAGCATTGGGCTAATCCCAACCAGATAAAGACACTATAAAGAAAGAAAATTATAGACCAATAACCCTGATAAACATAGATGCTAAAATCTTCAACAAAATATTAACAAAGGAAATTCAGCAACACATTAAATAGATCATACACTACAATCAAGTGGTCTTTATTCCAGGGATGCAAAGTTGGTACAATATCTACAAATCAGTTAACATGACACATCACATAAACAAAATGAAGGATAAATATCATATGATCATATCAATAGATGCAGAAAAAAGCATTTGACAAAATCTAGCACCCATTTATGATAAAAACAATCAGAAAAATGGGAATAGAGGGAACATACCTCAACATAATAAAGGCCATATATGACAAACCCACAGTCAATATCATATTCAATAGGGCAAAACTAAAAGCATGTTTCTTAAGATCAGGAACAAGACAGGGGTGTCCGCTTTCAACACTTTTATTCAACATAGTACTGGAGGTCCTAGCCATAACAATCAGACAAGAAGAAGAAATAAAAGGTCCAAACTGGAAAAGAAGTGAACTGTCATTATTTGCAGATGACATGATACTGTATCTGGAGAACCCTAAAGACTCTACCAAAACCTACTAGAACTGACAAATAAATTGAGTAAAGTGCTAGCAGGATACAAAATTAATATTTAGAAATTGGTTGCATTTTTATACACCAGTAATGAACTATCAAAAAGGGAAACTAAGAAAACAATGCCATAAATACCTAGGAATAACCAAGAATGTAAAAGATCTGTACTTAGAAAATTATAAAATATTAAAGAAAGTAATCAAAGAAGATACTAATAAACAGAAGCATATGCCGTGCTCATGAATAGGAAGAGCTAACATCATTAAAATGTCCATTCTACCCCAATAATACTATAATAACTATATATGATGCCAGGTAGATATTGGAAATATCAGGGGGAACACTTTGTAAAGTATGTGGTTGTCTAACCACTAAGCTCTGTACCTGAAATTAATATAAAATAATATTGAATGTAAACTGTAAAGAAAATAAAGATTTTTTTAAATGTTAAAAAAAGTCCACACTACCCAAAGTAATCTATAGATTCAGTGCAATTCCTATCAAAATACCAATGGCGCATTTCATAGAACTAGAACAAATAATCTAAAAATTTGTATGGAAACACAAAAGACCCTGAAGAGTAACAGAAATCTTGAAAAAGAACAAAGTGGGAGATATCACACTCCATGATATCAAACTATACTACAAGGCTATAGTAATTAAAACGGCATGGTACTGGCATAAAATCAGACATTTAGATCAATGGACTGAATAGAGAACCCAGAAATAAACCCACGCCTATACGTTCAATCAATCTATGACAAAGAAAGCAAGAACATACAAATGGGCAAAGACAGTCTATTCAATAAATGGTTCTGGGAAAATTGGACAGATACATACAAAAAAATGAAACTAGACCACTTTCTTATCCCATATACAAGAATAAACTCAAAATGGATTACAGACTTAAATTTAAGACCTGAAACCATAAAACTCTAGAAGAAAAGATAGGCAGTAAAATCTCAGATGGTTCTCTTAGCAATATTCTTTTTCTGACACATCTCGGACAAAGGAAACAAAAGAAAAAATAAACAAATGGGACTACTTCAAAGTAAAACATTTTTGCACACGAAAGGAAACCCTCAACAGAATGGAAAGACAACATACTGGATGGGATGGGAGAAGATTTTCCCCAGTGATACATCCAGTAAGGGATTAATATCCAAAATTTATAAAGAACTCAGACAACACCAGAAAAACAACCCAATTAAAAAGTGGGCAGAGGACCTGAGTAGACACGTCTCCAAAGAGGACATACAGCTGGCCAATAGACATAAGAAAGGGTGCTCAAGATTACTCATCATCAGAGAAATGCAAATAAAACCACAATGAGATACTGCCTCATACCTGTCAGAATGGCTGCCATCAATAAGTCAACAAACAAGTGTTTGAGGATGTGGAGAAAAGGGAACCCCAGTGCACTGTTGAAACAGTGTGGAGGTTCCTAAAAAAAATAAAAATGGAATTGCTTTATGACCCGGCGATTCCACTTCGGGAATATATCTAAAGAAATCCAAAACATTAATTTGAAAGAATATGCGCACGCTTTGTTTATCGCAGCATTATTTACAATAGCCAAAATATGGAAGCAACCCAAGTGCCCATCTATAGACGAGTGGATAAAAAAGCAGTACATACCCACAAATGGAATATTACTTGGCCATAAAAAAGAATGAAATCTTACCTTTTGTGACAGCATGGATGGGCCTAGACAAATACCATATGATTTCACCTATATGTGGAATCTTAACAAAATAAACAAACAAGCAAAATAGCAACAGACTCATAGACACAGAGAACAGACTGATGGTTGCCAGAGGGGAGGGGAGTTGGGGGCTGGGTGAAAAAGATGAAGGATTAAGAAGTACAGATTGTTAGTCACAGAATAGTCACAGAGATGTAAAGTACAGCATAGGCAATGTAGTCAATAATATCATAATAACTATATATGGGGCCAGGTGGGTATGTGGGGGCCACTCTGTAAAGTACATGATTATCTAACCACTATCCTGTACATCTGGAACTAATACAGAGTAATATTGAATGTGAAGTGTATTAAAAAAAATTAAAATAACTTTTTAAAGAAAGCTATGCAATAGGTTATCCTTGTCCATAAACAAGGTAAATCAGTCTCTTTGTTAACTAATTTAGCTGAAAGTCACCTAGAGCTGGCAACATCAAGTGAGATATTTAAAGCCAAAATAAACACTGTAATGAACTTAGAATTAGTACCCAGTATGTATATGTGAATTTAAAAACCATTATTTTTATTATTGATACAGTTGACTTATAGTGCCATCACACTAGTTCCCCAATCCACTTATTGAAATATATCTTAGTATTTCTGTTGATATAGTGAACTGAATTTGAAAAAAAGTAAAGAAAATTTACCTTGGGCTTATTTAAATTTTCCCCCATGGAATTGTTAACTCTGAATTACCTATCATTATAACTACCTTGATACAGCTTAAATATCTTAACAAAATTCTTTAATAATTTAACATAATTTAAAGTTTAGATATATATGTTTTTATGCATCACAATATATTATATAGATAGCTTCCATAAATCCTCAGATTCATAGAAGTGATATATCCCATGGAGTTAACATATTTTATGCAAATGTATTTATAAAGGAACATATATTCTTAGTCATTCTTTTACTTAAAATGAATAGCCTGGCCTGTGTGGCTCAGTGGTTGAGCGTCGCCCCATGGACCAGGAGCTCCCCAATTCGATTCCCGGTTGGGGCACGTGCCCCGGTTGTGGGCTTGGTCCCCGGAACAGGGCTGTGCCTGAGGCAGCCGATCGATGACGTTTCTCTCTCACCGATGTTTCTGTCTCTCTGTCCCTCTCCCTTCCTCTCTCTCTAAAAACCAATTTTTAAAAACCCATATTAAAATGAGTATATTTCAGGTATGTTTCTTTCATTTAAAATACCACGATGATCAGTTTTGAGCTTGGCACAGGACACCAGGGGGAACAGAACAGACAGGGTCCCTGTGTATGTCCAGAGCAGCCCCAATTCAGTCGTTCTTATATTTTCGTGCATCCTTTATGGCACTGTTCGTTCACATATGTATGTGTACATAACTGTCCCATTATTAAATTAATATTTATTCAAGCGTTCGAATGGAAAATTAGTAACTTTGACAAAATTGAAAGTTAACTGTAAACACACATGGATGCCATTTACTTCCTCCAGCTGGCTTAGAAGTTCTCTACCCAGATGGAGTGAAATGAATCCCAAAGTCCTCCTCTTCCTCTACTGATGCAGGGACTTTCTATTCATGTTTCTATTTTATACAAATGGAAAGGCTACATTTGATGTTAAATTGTGGGTTATATCTTGATGTCAGAGAGGATACATATTCCTGGCCCGCACCCCCAATTAAGCCACCTCATACATGTAGCATTCTTTGGGGAACTGTCTCGTCCATTGACTTGAAAGAAAATGATCTGTTATACCTGACCTCATTCAAGTGGGCTTTTCTTCATGATGTCCTTAGCTCAGAGGCAAGTGTGGAACTTCAGTCCTTTCAGAAGGTTGACGACTGCAACATTTAAGCAATAATGCCACATTTCTGCTATTTATTAAAGAAGCATGCATACTATGCAAGAAGAGTTTTAGGATATCAGCATTCTTGGTTTTATGATTCACTTTGCGCTCTACTTTGACCCATCTACCGTCTTCACTTTTATATATTATCTTACAGGTGCTGCTGTTTCAAGACCAGAATTATGGTCTTCACTATGAATACACTGTCCCATCAGACCCTCCTCCAGAGAACCAGAGCTCTAAAGCACCCGAGCCGCTTTTCATGTGGACTCACACAGGCTGGGAAGATTGTGATGCCACGTGTGGAGGAGGTAAAGGATTTCCTAATATTTATCTTTCCAAAACAGTACTTATTTTCTGATTAACTGTTAATAATTAAGACAGATCTGCAACCTCTTATCTGAAATTCCAAACTCCATAAAGAATTGGAAACTGAAAGTTTTTTGTGACACATTTAGTGGCTAAACACCTGAACTATTTTGAGGCAAAATTTGATGTGAATTGAAAAAAGCCCATTGAGCGTTGTTACATACCTCACTTAATATGATTACTCATTGCTTTACTTTGCATAAATATTAATGTATTTGCTTACAGGGGCTTCCCTAGCCAGCATACTGGTTATTATGCCATATATATGCACTTTTTATATTTTACTTTTTTATTTGTGTTTTCATAGTGGAAGTTGAGTAGGCAAAAGAATAAAATTACTTCAGCATAAAATGAGAGACTAGGAAATGACATGATCCTACTGAAGAGACAGCTGGTTACCACGGGTTAAGTGGATTGTCAGTTACAGAACCAGTGAGTACTAAGGCCAAGGCAAGATCCCAAGTCATGAGCTTCCCAACTTATACTTGTATTTTACGTATCTACAGCACAGTATTTCAGTTCTCATTTGTACTTAGCAAATTTCCAACAACTCTGTACTAACAGATAGATGCCTTCTAAACTAAAAGGAAACACTGTATTCAATTATACAAAAGCATAATATATATATATATTACCTATATAATATAAATGGGTTTCCACAAAGAGGCGGAATATCAGTTTTGTCTTCTAGGCAGAGACTATTGCTACAGATAGCCTAAATTTGCTGCAGGAGGCGTTGCTGAAAGTGCAGAAAGACTGGCATTTGAAGAAGAATGTTTGGGGCAAAGGGAAACAAAATATACACATAAATAAATACTATAGAATCAAATTGTGATAAGTACCTTGGGTAAAAATTCAAGAGAAGGAAATAAATAAGAGTTGTGAAGATGTCAAGGAGATAGGTGCAGAATATGGTAGTCAGAAAAGGCCTTAATGAGATCACACTGATGAAAAATCTGATATGGGTGGGTGCCACCCACAGGGTATCTGGGGCAGAGTTCCAAGCAAAGGCCCTGAGGCAGTAGAGATGGCATGTTCAAGGGGTAGATGGCCTTCCTTACTAAAAGTGATGTGAGATGCCACTGAAAGGTTTGAGTACAGAAATGACTTATTCTGGCTTATGTTTTTAAGAGTTGTTTCTGTTTCTGAGTTGACAGTAGATAGAAGGAAAGGGGTAAAAACAGAGAGATCAGTTGGGAGGTTATTGTAATAATCCAAGAAAGATATGACAGGAGTGTGACCATGGTGGGAGCAATGGAGGTAGGGGGAAGTGGTCAGTCTCTGTATATGTTTTTAGAGTAGAGCTAATAGAATACGTTGATAGACTAGATAATGGAATATCAGAGAGATGTCAAGGATGACTCTGATGGTTTTGGCCAAGGAACTGGCAGGATGAAGTTACCACTGACCTACACAGGAAGGCCTATAGAATAGCACGATTAGGAAAGAGGTTGGTTTTCAAAATAGATTTGAGATGCCTATTGGATATGTAAGTATGATGTCAAGTAGGCAGTTGGGTAAATAAGTCCGGTGTTCAGGAGAGCAGATTAGGTTAGAGATATACAATACATGGGTGATATTTTAAAATGCTGTAACTAAGTGAAGTCACATAAGGAGTGAGTGAAAAGAGGGAGATGCTGTTGGAAGACTGAGCCTTGGGACACTGTAGCATTCCAAGTTCAGAGAAATGAGAAGGAACAGCAAAGCAGATGAACACAGGTAGCCAGCAACATAGGAGAAAAGACAGGCAGATGAGAAGGGCGGAATGACAGACTGGATCAGAGCTGCTAGTGAGGCAAAAGTAATGTGGCTTTCGGTGGTAACTACACAATGCAATATCAGATGATGTGGTATAGAATCATACACTTGAAACCTACATAATTTTATTAATCACTCTCATCCTAATAAATTTAATTTAAAAAAGGAAAAAATGTGGACTGAGGATTGAATATTATGTCTAAATATATTTTCAAATACATTATATTTATTATATTTGGAACAAAATGGTCAATGATGACCCTGTAAAAATTAATTTTAATGAAGTTATTTGGCTCAAAAGACTAAGTGGAGTGGATTCAAGACAAAATAGCATGCAGTGACTCAAGGTAACTCAAGAAATGTTGCTGAAAGAAGAAAACAGATTATTAACAAGGCAGTATTTGGAGGGGAGTATGTGTCAAAGAGTCTGTTGTTGTTGTTAGTAGGAGAAATAACACATGATTGTTCTCCACTGCGTATTTTCTAGAATAGAATGGAAAACCAGAGATGCAAAAGAAAGCAAAAAAAATGCTGGAGTGATATCCCTAAGTTAGCAAGATAGGATGGAATGGAGCAGTTGGGGCTCAGGCAAAACATGGACAGCCCTTCACGAGTAACAGGAGAAAAAACAGTATCTGTGAACTTGCAGTGGTGCCCTTCTGGTTGCATGTATTTTATGAATAAAGGCCACCTTGCTGAAAGGGAAGGCGGAAAGGGAGGTATTGGAATTTGAAGAGGTCACTTATGAGAAGGAGAGAATGAATAAACGGGTACATGACTTTTAATTGTGTGGTAGCACCAGTGGATGGTCCACTTGAAGTTAACGGTCATGAATTTAGCTTGACAGCAATCATTATAACGGATGCTGCCCTCCAGCTGTGTACAGTGCGCAGATGCGCCTGTGCAGTAGGTTTGGAAATTTCCAAGTGAATAGTGTAAAATGAAAAGAGAACATGATTGACCTGAGGTGGTTTGTGAGGAGTTGAAAGTGGTTGGCCATGGGCTCTGGTCAGGTAGCTCAGCTGGTTAGAGCATTGTCCTGATACACCAAGGTTGTGGGTTCGAGCCGTGGTCAGGGTACATACAAGAATCAACCAATGAGTGCATAGAGAAGTGGAACAACAAATCGATGTGTTTTCTCTCCCCCTCTCTCCCTCTCTCCCTCTCTCTCTTCCTCAAATTAATCAATAAATAAGAAATTTAAGAAAATGGTTGGCCATGGAATTTAGTTGCATAAGGAGGAAAATAAAAGTCTGAAGGGCTTGAAAGACAATGAGAAGGTGTTAGGATTGATGGATTATAGGACCTGGTGGGGTTACAGAACTTTCAGACTCAAGGTACTAAAAGGAGAGGGCTGGAAATCCAGGAGATAATGGCAGAAAATAGAGCTGAGATCATGGAGGGTGTCTAGTTATTGGTGATCACGAGACCAAGGGAGTTATTGGCTTAAAGGGAAAGGCAAGATCTCTGGGAAGAGGAGAGGGCCAGGAGCGGAGAGGCCCTGTGCTAGAAGAATCGTTCATACAGATGCCGTAATTGCAAAACTGTGCTAGGAGCAGTGTCAGAAACTGTAACAGTAATGCAGTGGCTGAAATCTTAGAGAGAGGGAGTGGCCCAGAGGTTGAAGTTTGACTCACCAAGGAGAACGGTCTGCATCGTTGATCCCGGCTGGAGGTTTAGGAGGCAGGGGAACCGGCTGGGGTGAGTGAGGAGCATGGACACCCACACTACCTGTCAGGGGAACAAGCGAGGAAATGGCCACCGCTGGGGGCTCTGGGGAAGCAAGCAAGTGCCCTCAGGGACAGAAAAGAACATGCAGGAGCATGCAGAGGCTCAGAGCCCGGAGGGAGCAGCTTCGCCGGACGCTCAGAGCTCCTGGCTCCTCACCTGACGCCTGCAGCGCCGGCCCTCTGGAGCGCCCAGAGCAAAGGAAGGCTGTGGGCGGGGAAGGAGGCATCGCAGGACACACTTGACCCCCGGGATATAGCGGAATTACAACGAAGGGATTTCAAATTGTTCTCGTAGCTGAAAACATTTTCTCGGTCCTGCTTGGCATCATGCAATTTTCATTGGCCGTGTGTCTCCCGGGGCCCCGTGATTGCCGTGTGACTTGGGGCCCTCTGCCCTCCTGTCCTCTCCTGCTGATGCTCCCAGATCCACACAGGCCTGCTCCCCTGCTCCACCCACTCACTGATGCCAGGGCCCGTTTCCCTTGAGGGGCTCTGCTTCATGTCCTCTGTCCAAATGAAAAACAAAACCACAAATAGACAGGCCTATTTGAAATGAAAATCTATACTGGTAGAATTTTCTCTGCAGTGTAACTCAGGTAAGAATGACCAGCCCCCGTCCCAGGGCAGGCTCGGGGGAGTGGACTGATGAAAAGGTTGATGGCTTCCGTTAGAGCACTGACAGACCGTCCTTAAAATCTGTTTACCTTTGAAACTCTAGACAGGAAGACTTTTGCCCAGTGAACTTTATTATCCTCAATTTTTTTCTTTCTTTTGTAATCATGGTCTTATAAAAGCTGCATCAGAGGTAAACATTCAGAATTTGTCCGTCTTCAGTTTGAACAAGCAAATTATTAAGGTTTAAATGTTTTCCAAAAATAACATTAATTGCAACCCAGATTATGTGTTGCCAATTGCTAAACCTTAAGAGAGAGCGGTTCACTATAAGTTATTTTTGCTTCAGAGTCAGAAGGCCTTTTTGATATTCTTAAGCATAACTTCTAAATTATGACCATGAGAAAATTAAAGTGGAGGGAGATGAAGTGACTTCCCAAGGTCACATGCCCACTGAGGGAGGAGTCAGGATTCGAACCAGGACTCCTGCGTTCAGGTCTCCTTTCCTTCTCATCACATACTTTCTTCAAGAGCAGCATGGGAGCTAAATGTTGTTTCCACAAAATAAGGCATGTCCTTAGAGATTATATAGGTTTCCTTTGGATTCAAAGAGATGTTTTATTTTATTCTGTTAAAGTCAGACAGGAAAGGACACAAACCATATGATTTCACTCGCGGGATATAAAGCGGAAAGCAACAAATAAACAAACAAAAACTCACAGACGCAGACAACGGGATGGCGGTTACCAGAGGGACGGGAGTGGGGGATGCTGAAGAGGCGATGAAAGGAGACGACTTAGGCACGGGTCGTCTGCATCGCAGAATTGTACCCTTGAAACCTA